CAAAGAAAAACAATCCTGGATCTCCCCCCTTAATCAGATATGCTCTGTTTTTGTTTCATAATCCTGCAAAAACAGACAAAAAAATAAACAGACGAACAGCAATGAAAACTTATACACAGTGGTGAGGGTAATTAAAGCTTGAAGTGAGAGTGCACAGCAGCGACTGGGGAATGGAGCTGCATTGCTGATACAAGCGTTCAACCAAAGAGTGAGGGAGTGAGACTCAGCTGTCGATGATGTTTTTATAGCACCAAATTAAAAAATAAACTTACCAGAAAAATAAACATTTGAGCAAACATCAGTTTGATAAGAACTATCTAAAATGACATAAACATCTTCTAAATGATCTTTGTTGTGTATTTTAAATTTTTAGCTTTGATCATGTCCCATCTACTAACACGGAGGAGGCAGGATTTATGACCTATACTGCAGCCAGCCACCAGGGGGCGATGGAGACACTTCGGCTTCACTTTTGGAGAGCTGTCATTTGCACAGATCCAGACTTTACCTCCTCTTTTCCATCTTTATGCTCTCGCTTCATTTACGCAGCATTCAGTTATAATGATTCTAAGTTGTGAGTGCATTTGCCAAAAAGTCAAACATTTCTTCAGTTTTCAGAGACTGGCTGTGTTTGTGCTCTCCTTCCGATCAACTGCACATGTTTTATATTTTTCATCCTGTGCTGGAGAAGCGTGGCTGAGGTGTGAAAGTGCACATCGCTCGCTGTTGAAAATAGAAGGCAACATCTGCAAAGTGAGGCCCTGCCGCCCGATAGCCCCTTTTTGGGTTGTTAGTGGATAATGGGCCTCACCTCTCAGAGAACATTTTTACAGCAGGCTGCATGCTACCCTGACTGTGTGGAGGGTGGACTTCGCATTTAGTTTTCATGGCTCACATTAACCAGCATTACCTTATGCATCCGCCCCCCCCCCGTCGCCATCCATCTCCATCTCTCTTCCTGTTTCTTTAAAGCAGCAGAGTGCCTCGCTTTATCCCAACGCAATGCTAAAAAAGCATGTCTTGACTCTCGATTTGCACCTCACCCTCTGCCATTTGACGCTTTGCTTGCATCCTCTCATCTGCACACTGTTCTCATGTAGGATCAGAGCGTCTCCTCTGCATATAAGAAGGGGGGCGGGCATGCATGTGCAGCACACGGCTGCAAATATACATGCTTTTGGTAACACAGGTGCAGGGGGGCCATGCATGTGCAGCACACGGCTGCAAACATACATGCTTTTGGTAACACAGGTGCTCTATGGTAACTCAATGCTCAGCAGTGACAGACATGTACAAAATAGTATCAATCTCCTTGGCCTGAATCACAATAACTGCAAACTCTGATTGTCTGATACAGTGTCCCTGCAGGAGTCAAAGTATAGACAGTGTTTTTTTTGTTTGTTTCGTATGTCCCTCGTCTGCCTTTGAGCAGGAAGAGCAGTAATTGCTGAGTAAATTGCACAGTAACACCTCTCATTAGATTATTAGCATTGCATTAGGAACAAAGATGACTGGTAGCGATTTCCTGAGGTTGTTTCCAACGTGTGCGTCCATCAGTGGAGGGAGAGATGGTGCTAAGAACTTGCATATTTCTAACTACTTGTGCAAAGTAAATACAGGGGCGGGTGGGTGCTGGGTAGCTTTAACTGTCCAACCACTGTCAGGATAATTGTGTTGAGTTCCAATTACTTTTACAGTGTTGTCTTTATTTCGCAGGTGTTTTTGTCAGTGTTTCCAGTGTAGTTTATTTTCTGCACGAACACAAGCTCTTTCCTAAAAAACTCATCTGCATTTTGGTGCATGGGTGTGTGTGTGTGTGCTCATTTTTGTTACCACTCTGAGACTTTTTACTTTATAAACACAGAACCATTGGACCTCATGGGGACAAAACCCTGGTTTTAATGAGGCAAAACATGTTTTCTGAGCTCCTGATTAAGGTTAGAGGTAAGATGGGAATTGGGTTAGGTGTCGGTTAGAGTTGCGATGGTTAAGGTAAGGGTTGGGGGCTAGGAACATGAGTGTGTGTGCTTGTGGTCCAGGTATTATTCATTTTGAGGGAACCTAACAGTCACATTATGAGGACTTGTCTTTATTATAAGGACAAAAATCATTACGTGAAAGTTAGGACATTTTGCCTAAAATCTCTGAGCGGCACTAAATGGAGGGAGGGCAGCGTTGAGAAAATCCTATGTTTCTCCAGGGATGAACCCATTTAATGTTTTTTCCGAGCTTCCACTCTGCAGTAAAGTGAGACATTGTTTTGCTTAATTCCACCAACGGAAATAGGTGCATTTAGCCAAAAGGGTAAGAGTTGTAGTGGGAAAGCATTTCCTGCTGAAAATGCACTGTCCTTTTTAAACTGCAGGCTTTTCTTTTCACACAGATTAAAGACCCTCTCATGTATTTACAGACTGGGTGGTCTCCACATCCTCTGCTTAAATGCCTGTTTATAATTTAATAGAGGATTCCCTCCCTCTGTCCTTCCTTCTTTCCTGCCTCCAGGCTTTATCGAGCCTGCATCCAGAGTGTGAGTTCATATTCCAGCTGGAGAGAGAGGAGCGCCACTGCCTTCAGTACATTGCAACACAGGCCAACAGGAGCCAGGAAGGTGTGTTACCGATGTTAAACTCACCCTGCGCCGTAAAAATGTTCATGTCTAAGCTGGAATCAAAGCTTCACATGGAATCAGGGCAGACAGTGATTTATCACGATGGTGCATCTGTAAAGGAGACATCTGTAGAGGAGACTATTTAGGATAGTTACATAAGGATTTTGCCCTGGGCTCTATCTCAAGATGAAGGTCTTGCTCGTGACCTGCAGCACTCCCACATTTTGTATTAATGTAGTTTAGAGGCAGATGTTATGGCTACTAGTATTGTGCATATACCATCTTTTCTGTCTCCATAAGAAACTGTGTGCAACCGTGCTTTTCTGGCAGCAGTGTATAAATTGGTTTGCATGGAATCTCCTGTCTGGTTAACTATCAGGACAGACAAATATTTAACTTGATGATGATTTCATTTTCCTCTTCAGGTTGTCGTCCATTCTGGGATGCAGTCGTCTGCTGGCCTCATGCAGTCATTGGAGATACGGTCCACAGAGGTTGTCCTGCAGTCTTCTCCCTCTTCAGAAACAACACAGGTGACTGAAGGGTCACACGGTGAGGGTGGAGGGGGACAGATGATAAATACATTTAAAGTTACAGCATCACCAAAGTCATGGATCTTCCTCCTGAGGGGAAAATGTTTTATAGAATTCCATCCAGTTGTTTTTGAGACAGTTCACTCCAAACCTAATGCAAGCCTCATGGTAGCACTAGTGGAAATGATTAATCCTCTGGGGACCATCAATGTCTGAGCAAGATTTCATGGCAGTACATCAATTTTTGTTGAGATATTTCACCAATAAATCACAAATGCAAACCTCATGGTCATGCTGATGGTACATCTGGGAACCATTAACGTCAGTTGAGAGTTTTGCGTTAATAAATCAATGATTGCTGTGATAGTGTAGTCAAATCTTTCAAAATCTGGTGGCGCTACAGGAAAAGTCATGATGGCCAAAGTCGTTTGGATTTTCCCTCTTGACTGATGGACAAAAGATGGACAAAATGTCAAACTCAAGGCTTCAAAACAGCAGCTCACAAACCAATGGGTTGTGTCAGAGTGAGTGCCCTTTGGTCTGTACAGGATTTCATGCAGACTCGTCCCACAGTTGTTGAGATATTTCTGACTGAAACAAATCTCTAACCATCTCCACAGCCACATCTCCAGTACGGCTACATGCATTTCACCTGAATATATTCCTCTCTTCATAGTGCCTCTAATCTGAAGTTCACTGCTTTATGGCTGAGTTAAATTCTTGATCTCTTCACCTTTCACCTCAGGTTCAGTGAGTCGTAACTGCACCAGCCAAGGTTGGTCCGGGCCCTTCCCATCGTACCACGTTGCCTGCAGCGTGGATGATGACTTCCCTGAGGTGAGAGTTGCTGGGTCAGGGTGGATCCAGAGGTTAGAGGTGGGGAATGAGATAGCAGAGGTCAGGGAGAACGAACCAGACACAGCAGGAGAGGCAGCAGGAGCGAGGAGACAAGTAAAGGAGACAACGCTCTGTTTCAGCTCCAGAGATTAACACTCCTTAAAAGAAGAAGAAAACATCTCGGTTTGCACTTCACAGGCTTAGCGAGATGAACAATAGAGACTAGCAGGAGTACGTGGCACTTAAAGATTGTGCAATATGTACAATAAGTCAGTTATTAAAGGAAGTAAAAGTGTCAAAAAGACAGGAGCTAGCATGAGGAGGAGCAGCAGCAATGGACAGTCTGAGGAAAGTTCCTAAAAAAAACCCTTAACCTGAAGGGGAACCTAATACATCTCCTTTAATATATGATGCACGCCATTCCTTGTTATATTATTATCACGATGTTCCTTATGCTATTCACTTTATGTATTTATTTGTATTCTTAATTTTGGTGTAAACCTCTTGTGGTGCATACAACACACTGTCATTAACCAAAGATTACAAAAAAATCTGAATTATTTAATATACATACTAAACAAGCTAAAAATTATATATATAAATCAACACACTATACAAGCTAAATAAGAGAGGTAAATGAACCATGTTTGAAGAGGTACTTGTGTCAGACTGTACTGATGTGAACACCTGCAGGCATTTCTTTCTGGGTAGTTGACTTTCAAATATAAATTTAATGGTTCATTGCCTCACAACACTCAAAGAGAAAATGTATTCAAACATAAAGGCACTACATCTGAAAATACTTCAGGTAATTGCCTAAATTATCTTGTTCCACAAAGAGAAGATGGTGCTCAATCATATTGATGTATGTTTTTGGACGAGGATCACGAGTAAAGCTTCTTTTGGTGTCACACAGAGAATTTAAGTTTAAAAAAACAAGCTTTTAAGTTGTCCACTGGCACTGGTGGAAAGACATTAATTACAATTGCTGATGTTAGAGAAGCAGCGTTGTAGCTTTGAATTGATTCAGTATAGTTCTAAACCAGTTTCCTCTCATTTTGAGACATTATCAGGTCTAACAGCATTTTTTGAAAGCTTCGATTTTTATTTTCGGGTAGAAAGTCATTATGCAAAATCTGCTTCCAGACAGAGGAGTCATACTTTGCCACTGTGAAGCTGATCTACACTGTTGGCTACAGCGTTTCTCTAGCGGTGCTGACTGTGGCCGTGTTGATCCTGTTACTCTTCAGGTAGGAGCAGATTTCTCCAAATTGTCCAGAGAAAAGACACACAGGCAGCTACAGGCAGAACCACTATGCCTGGCTTTATATATACATATCCCTGTATATGGTTTTTGTTCCTTATATTGGTTTTGTCTTTTTTTCCAATAGGAGGCTTCGTTGTGCCAGGAACTTCATTCACATCCAGCTTTTTATTACCTTTATCCTTAAATCTACGGCGGTGTTCATAAAGGATGCTACACTATTCTCAAGTGATGACATCAACCACTGCACACTTTCCACAGTAAGTCAATGATGTTGACGACAACTTTCTTTGCTCAAGTCAGGAAAATCTGAGCAGATTTCATTGTTCTCATATTTACGCCCTCGTCTTATTTCGCCTGCACGGCACCTCGTTCATTCTAACTCCTACTTGCATTTCCTTCTCTGTCCTCTTATCTTTCCCTCCAGTTCGCCTGTAAGGCCTCTGTGGTCTTCTGTCACTACTGTGTAATGGCTAATTTTTTCTGGCTCCTGGTGGAGGCGCTCTACCTCAACTCCCTGCTGCTCTCCTCCTTCTATCAAAGCCGGCGCTGTCTGTGGGGCTTCAGCCTGCTGGGATGGGGTGAGATGCTTGTTGTGCGGAGGTGCAGACTAAATTTGATGAGTTTGGTTCCACTGTTTATTATTGCAGATTTGAAATAAAGGAGCCTGTATTGGACAAGGATCAAACAAAAATCTCAAGAAAGTATGGTATGCTACTTGTCCGGTACATTTACATAGTGAGTAGGATAACAAAAGAATTAATATTTTATACATACTTGGGTTTTCATTTCGGTATTAAATGCATGTTAGCTCACAGTTAGTTGAAAATAAAAATAAATGTTTTCTATTCCTGAAAAGTTTAAAAACTGCAGCTTTGTATTATAGATATTAAGATCGTTTTCTTTCTTTTTTTGCAAGTCATATACTCACTGTCATCCATTTTAAATGATGCGTAGTCAAATCTTTCAAAATCTTTTTTCAAAAAGTCATGATGGCCAAAGTAATTTGGATTTTTCCTCTAAACTATAAAAAAGCACATATGGGCTCTGGGTTTGGAAAGTGAAGCCAATGCTGAAGTGTTTGAAACCTGCGTTCTCTCGAATGATCAGCAGAGGGCTTTCTTTATAACTTCAGTAGACAGGTCTATATGGAGTTTATGGTCTTAAATACAGTATGACGTTTATTTTATGAATTATGATCATGTTATAAGTTAAGAAAACGATAAGGGGCATGGATACCGTGTGATTGACAGCTTCTATCATCCTGAGGGTGAAGGTGTAGGTGGACATGCAGTGTCCTTGAGCTCTCAGTCAGGTTCACTCCCCCACTCCTTCAAATGTGGCTATTTTTGGTTTTTTAAAAAACAAGATAGATGAAATGTCAAACTCAAGGGTTCAAAACGTCACCTCACAAACCAATGGGTCGTGTCAGAGTGAGTTTCATTTGGTCCGTACGTGATTTCATGCTGACTCATCCCACAGTTGTTGAGAAATTTCTGACGACATAACCATCTCTACAGCCACGGCTCCAGTACGGCTACATGCATTTCAGCTGAAAATATTCTTTGCCAAGGATACAGAGATTACAAACTAAGAGCCACACGACCTCTGACACATTGAATTATGTATCATTTTCCAGAATTAAACAACTGAGTTAAAAGGTAAAATTGTTTCTGTCCATTTTCACATCAGACACATCACTGCTTCAGCCTCTGAATTATAGCATTTACTTTGAGTTGTTGCTGCACGAATCAATGCAGATATTAGAGAAGTTGACAGGTCTTCTCTTCAGTATCTGTCTGATTATAATTCTGCCAACTCAGCGCGTATTGATTGCACCTCACTGACATCAGCTCTGGTTTTCTGTCGTACCACAGGCGTACCTGTGCTCTTCATCCTCCTGTGGATTGGATCCAGGCTGTATTTCGAAGACACAGAGTTTGTATAAACTTACATAAACTTTTCCATCATGTCCGCATGCAAAATTATAGACATAAACATATTCAAGTGCCGAAGTTAAAAGTGCAACATAAAACCACAGTGCAGCACACTGTTACTAAATGATTGATGTACATTCATCACTTGCATTGTCTACTGAAGTCATTGTTCATCACCCTGGACGAGAACCTGCACAGACTGATTGAAATACTTTTTTGCAAAATGTCTTTTCACACAGATGTTGGGACATCAACGAGGAGTCGCCCTATTGGTGGATCATCAAGGGACCAATTGTTGTGTCTATAGCGGTAAATGCCTCCATTGTGCCAATACAAACAAAATAATTGGACCCTCAATTATACACCCTGCAGATGAGAAATTGTTATGCAGATGATTTGTTTACTTTCTTTTTTGAGATGGATTATTAGCAAGGATTTAAATAAAATCTTTTGTGTATACCAGGATTGTGAGACGGAGACTTTCCTCACAGCAGTCACAGCCAATTACACACTTGGCTGCCCATTATGGTTCCATGACATTTAATAATCACATTGTTGTGAGCGACATTCATAATGCTAAGGACTTAAGCACATTAAAGTGCTTTTTTATTTTGGCATTCTTCCTTTTTCTATCACCAGGTCAATTTTATGCTCTTCATGAACATCATCAGAATCCTAATACAGAAGCTGAATCCTCGGCTGATCCAGTTCAACAACTCCTCTCAGTACAGGTAATCCTTGAGCTGCAGACACGCTGTGGACACAATAAAAGTAACTGAATTTACCAGCTGGGCTTTTGTTTTGTCAAATGGAGCTTTAAATGTTTTACTCACATATTTTGCACTTTCAAATGAGCAGATTATACTTCCGACATTTTGATGTCAAAAAGATGTGAGCTGTGTGAAATCTGTTGCTACACCGCAGTGGGAAATGTATAATTCATTCAGTCACTGCTTAACCACAAAGTATTGAGTCCGGCCACGTCTACCTTTCCATTTCCCAACAGGCTTATCAAAATTTCTAATTAAAACAGGCTCACTAATTGGCTGAAAGTGTTCAGGCACACCATGCATAGCTAGATGTTATACTAAAGGTAAGTTAAGTGATGCTTGACTTAATATGTTCCCCTACACTTGCACATTTTAATATCCCCACTTAGAATCGTGCACCTGCTGCTACTTCTCCGCTCACAAACAAATACTGCGTTCACACTGATGCACACACCCGAGTGTCCTCTTGATTGACATCTGGTGATTAGTGTGTCTGTGGGCATGATGCTATCGAGAGAGACATTCAGACAAGATGTGCAATAAATATATCCCTCAGGTACATTCACCTCCAGCATCTTGTTTTCTTTTTGTTCTTATTTTCTTCTGTGAAACAGACGTCTGACGAAGTCCACCCTCCTCCTCATCCCTTTGTTCGGGACTCACTACATGTTCTTCAATTTTCTACCTGACTACTTCAGTGTTAACCTGCGGCTCTGTATTGAGCTCTGCATGGGATCCTTCCAGGTACACGCGTGGGCATAAACACTCAATATTCTCACAGCAATATATCGCACATGCTCAAATACCCTGAAAATACACATTATCTCCTGCCAATACCCAGAATGTAATCTCTTTATTGCACTGCATGTTGCAATAAACCCTTGTTGATTGTCTCATTGGTGTAAAACGACTCAAACAATTCATACAATATCTTGAATAAATCCATTCTTCACATGGACTAGATTAGCTGTACAGTCTGCACTTTCATGTTCCATGTATAAATGGCATTTGAATATATGAAATTTCTTCTTGAAATCCTCTTCACACCGGACATGTTTGTATAAAAGCTATGCAAACATGCTGATGTTTACCAGCTGTAATGTTTTCCATTATCTTAGTTAATGCTGGTTAATGCTGGACAATTATCTCTAAACCCTAAGTGCATCTGTACGATGGG